CTCTTGTTTTATCCACGAGAAGAATATCATCAGCAAAAAGCATACACCAAGGTACATCCTCCTGTCACAGTAAGACCATCCATAACTAAAGCAAAAAGATATGGGCTTAAAGTCGATCCCTGATGTAAACCAACAGAAATAGGAAAATATTTTGTCAATCCTCCTTCAATTTGAACACAAGTAACAGCTCTAGTATACATATCTTTAATGACTTGAATATAAGTCATATCAACACATTTCTTCTCGAGAACTCTCCAAAGGATATCTCTTGGAACCTTATCGAAAGCTTTTTCTAAATCAATAAAAATCAAATGTAGATTCTCCTTATTATCTCTGAACTTCTCCATCAAACCTCTCAATAAATGTATAGCTTCCATAGTAGACCTGCCCAGCATAAATCCAAATTGATAATGATCCAAAAATGATTAATAAAAATTTTGGTTGCAATTAAATGTTACAAATTACAACTAATAATAGAATTATGTGACTAAATAATTCCAAATCACAAAAAGTCAGAAAAATAGAATTTAATTCAAATTACAAATAGCCAAGGTTAATTTCAATTAAAAGTTCAACAATGCTTAGCTAGTTATAATTCAATTTAATTAGTCACTAGATATAGCTCAGCGATGATCACGCATTGCTATGACACTCTTCTGCCATATATATGTATAGAAATTGTTCAATTTTTTTTAACCAATGGGAACAAAAGAGTACTGAGATTAATGCAGTAACAGTGAATGAATAATACTATTCAGAACTGTACAAGTATGAAATATTCCATACCAAGCCAAGCAAATGACCAACTATGATAGAGCCAATTGGATCATAAATTGGATTTCCAGTAGCATGGACAGCCACCAATGATGCTCCAGCAATAACAAGACCAGTGACTGCAGCACCATCCTGTAAAATTGTAAAAACTTTGACAATGTGAAACAATATTAAATATTAATCTACCATGGAAGGCAAAAATACTTAATAAAATAGATCATCATCATTATCATTCATTCATTGCCCGAAGCATTTAATATTACATATAAACGCTTCTCGCAAAGCAACCATTTTTCTCGACCCATCTCCCAAAAAGATCTACAATAATTCCATATACTATTTTTATTGATTCATATTTTGCTCAAATCACCTACATCTTTTTTCAATAGTTATCCACAATAAGTGCAACTCTCGTAATCTCTCTAATTTAATAATTTCTTATTACATTTCTATAGTATACCGGACATCTGCGCAATAACATCTCCACTCTTATTTTAGCTATCAATGAATTCCTCATTCCCCAACACTTGATCCTATTAACCTGGTCATTCAAGTTAAAGTTCAACTAAAAGCAATCTTTAAGGGACCCTTTGGGATCACTTTATTTTTTATTTTCTATTTTTGTTTTTATTTTGTTTTTTTATGTTTTAGTTTGAAACAAAATATGCTTGGCTATTTGATTAAAGTATGATTATTTTTAAAAATACTCAAAACATCTAAAAATTATTTCGAATATTTTCAAAAAAAAATAATAATAATAAAAAACAAAATTGAGCCCAAAAAAACCCAAGTGTCCATGAAATGAGAAAGAAAAAAAATAGAACAAGTTGCTGACTAAGCCTGTAATGGCATGTGTTCATTTCGAAAAAATTCTATTCATAGATTTTAATTAGAATGCATTATCACCTCTGTCATGACAGCAACAGATGTAGGATCATGACCACGCCATACGTAATCCCGTATTGTCATTCCCTCTGCAGCAGCCCCTTTCTTGACTGCTTTTACAGCAACAAGCAGTGAAGCCCCTAAAAATAATGAAATAGAAGATATTGCACTTCAAAAAACTTAAAGAATTAAGCTGCGCTCTAATTTACCTTCCAGAATGAATGATCCTCCAAGTACTATGGCTGCATACTTAATGTTGTCTGGGGGCTGTTCAAAGATTTTTTACCCTTTTAAGAATTAGTCAAGTATAATGGAGGCCGAATACAGTTTAAAAAAAAAAATGACAAATTAGCACCTTTACTAATTAGAAATAAGAAAAACAATTCATGTACGAGACATACATGTGCAAGCCACAAGTTTTGAACTCCATGCACAATCGTAGCACCTGATCCCAAACAAAAAATACCAACAGCAGATATCAATGACCAGACAAATCTTTCCTTTGAATAACCATACCTGCAAGAATTGTTTAAAAAAATGCAAATCAGGAAAATAGCATAAGGAATATTTGAAAATCCAAGAACTCAACTTCAACGGTTTTGCAAATCTAAGAAGTTTACATGTTTTTGCACCTTTTATCAAGGAAATGCCCTTCAACAAGTTATGCTAACAATTTCATAAATAGTTCAATGGTATAAGCTTCAAATGTAAACCTTAAAACAATAACTTACGGATGCAAGGCATCTGGACCACGCTTAGAGCTATTCAAGCCATATGCAAGAAGTATCTACAATACAAGATATTAAACTTTAACATAGATAAAAAATGATTAAGAAAATAAAGGGAAATAGAAATTTGAACAAATATTATATATTATGCTTGTAATTACACCTCAAAAATATTAAACAAAGTCAAATTTGTCAAATACCTGATTTGCTATGTCCGCAACTGAGTGCACTACTTCAGCCAGCATAACATGGCTAGAAGTTGCCAACCAAACCCCAAATTTTAGCGAGAAGACAAGGAAATTGCACCACAAAGCTGTGGTAACTGCTTGTTGGCTGAGACAAGCAGAAATCAAAAAGAGAAAAAAAAAAAACCATTAGCCAGGGAGAAGATTGGGGTAAATGGCTTAGCCAACCCAACTTATGCCCATTTGATTAGGCCTTCAAAATCCATTTATGGATTTGGATTAGACCTGATTTATAATGAGCTTTGATTGGCGATTAAGTAAAGTTTGTTTAGGTTCATTTAATTTGCTTGTGCAGTCAATGATCCTGAATAGATTCCAACCCCAAGATGCATAGAAACAAAATTGATTGTTATAGTTTATGTATTTTATTATTGGCTTCCATGCACAAAGGGAGACATATAGGGGAATAAAAGGATTGAAGGGTCTACAATTCCTTAGGAAAACCAGGAATCTCTCTCTCTCTCTCTCTCTCTCCAAAAAAAAAAAGGAACTTTATTAGCCAAGTGAAGACCCCTTGAAAAACTTTCTTAAAGATCCATGAAACTGATTGCAGTGCTAATAAGCCTTGGACCACTTCCAACTGATAAATTACTGATATTTGTGCTCGTACAAAGTTCTACTATAGAACAAACTAATCCCATATTTATTATTAAAAGTTAAGAGAAAATAAGCAAATAAAAATAGATCAAGACAATCACCTGGCGTCTTCAAACTTGGCTGCTTGCTTTATCTTTCCAAGTCGAAGAGAATAATCTGCACGACAAGAGACCAAAAAAAAAAGGAGTCATGAAAACCAACCCAGAGGCAGATAACTTCGCAAAGGCGATCAATGAGGTAAGAAAAGGAAACAGATGAACCAACAGCGGACAGAGGAGGTGGAAAAGGGTGATTGGTGACCGCCACCACAGACAGACGGAGTCGAGGACGATAGCTCACGGAGCGAAGCTCTCAAGAAAACCGACGCCGGCCACGGCGCCCTAGAAGAGCAGTGGCGGAAGAATAACGGTGGCGAGTCTTTCTTTGGTTCTGAGTAGGACGAGGATAAAAGTATATGAGATGGAGGGTTGTCGAGAAAGAAGAAAGGCGAAAGCGATTCTCTGATGCCAATGGTGGAGCGGGATTTTAGCATGCAACAGGAGGCGCGGAGGAGCTTTCTGCCGCTGTCGCTCTGCATAATCTCACTCTTGTCTTCCCGAGTTCGCTGTCTCGCTCCAGGGCGATCGTCACAGCGGGCTCGCTCTCTGCAATTTTTTACGATAGGGTAGAAATTCTGAGTCGAAAATCACAGAGATGATTTGCTCTTTTTTTCGAAAATGTTATCCCTCTTATTTTAGAGAAATTTTTGTGTACGGTCACCGCATGTATTTCTGTATGCGGTATCCGATCGATCATGATCGTAGCGGTCAGGATTATTTTCATTTTTTAAAAAAAATAAAAAAAATTTAGGTGGGGCCCACCGAAATGCATCTGGACCGTAGATCAGGTAATGTACGGTCTGGATCGGACACCGCATGGAATAATTTTGGGCCCACCGAAATGCATCTGGACCGTAGATCAGGTGATGTACGGTCCGGATCGGACACCGCATGGAATAATTTTTCCCATTTTGAATGACCAAAATTGAAATCTAAAGCTTTTAAAATGTTCCAATTTAATTCCTGATTTATTAAAAATTATTTTCATTTTTCCTAAATTAATTTTAACCTTTAATTTAAAGGTGGGCTACAAAATTTAAAGGATAAAAGGGTCTTATTTATATTTTATTCTTGAATAAAAGACCCTGATAGTCCATGGCTTGGCATTGGGCGGGCGGCCTAAGCCTGTTTAGAATAGGCGGGCTTGGTTATCAAAATTATAAAATTTTGTGGGCTCGACCTGTCTTAAGCTCACTTTGACTTAGTCAAAGCCCGAATGAATCTGTCCCGTGCCAAGTCTGGCCAGCCCATTGGCCCAATCTCATTCGCAATTGCAAGTTTTTTAGGAGATTAATTGTCTCATCTTTTATCTTCTTCATGACTTCATCTAGTCATAAATTTTGATTTTTATATTTAAAAGTTGAAGTTCAGGAGTTATAGATATAAATTAATAGAAATTGATGAGTAGTATATATGTAAATCTTTTTTCTTTATTTTTTTTGCAGTATTTACTCAGCTCATTTGTATTTATATATTGGGATGTTCTCAGTTCAAAATCTTATATGATTCATGTATATACATTTG